GACGGTCTGAGTTCAAAAATTTGCGCACACGAGTCACATTATCGGTGTTTGTCGAAGTCGAAGGTCTTCCAGCACGGTCTTCATCAGCGACCTCTTCCCGGCCCTCCAAAAAGGCCTGGTGCCACCGAAACACACCACTTCTTCCTAAAGCAACACCTGGATAAGATTTACCGAGTTTCACACAGAATTTAATCGGGTACCTCTGCTCTAACGAACGCTGCATTTTCGGCTTGCACCACTCACAGAAACACGTCGCGCGAATATTCCTGTCCTGACTCTCCAAGTGCTCGGAGACAACTGACCAGCCGCTCATTCGTTAGCTAGGAACGCCCTCTATCGAATCCAGTCGGTGCGCGCACGCTCCGAAGTACAGTCATGGCGAAAGAAAATAAGTCCTATTACTTTCCGGACAATCCCTGTATAGCATATAGGTACGGATCGCTCAAAACTAAATTCATTGAAAACACGCTGTAATTTATTATAAATTTATTTTTTTACCGTATTTTTATATAAATTTGTTGGGTTGTATTGCTTGTATTTGTCATAAACGTACATTAAATAAACAAATCCTCTGCATGGTTTCGTACGAGACCCTAAAACGGCGGCCTAGCTTTCGACAAGATATTCCGGTTCTGCCTCGTGCGCTTTCCACCTGTCCATTAACCCTGTTAAGTGCTAAAACATGAGGTTTTCCCGTGTTCACTGTCTATTATTGCCCTATAAATGGGTGTCAGGCTATTGTTTTATTCTCTGTATGACTGTATCAGTCAACTAGTTCATCCTTTAACTTAATCTTAGGGCTATATCTATACTCAGTAATCTTGCAAAGCTCTTGGAGATCGTATTGAACAAGCACTTGTCAACGAAAAACTAAATTTCCATCAATCAACATGGTTTCATGAGGCAGCGTTCAACCTTAACGAATTTGATGACGTTTAGCCAATATTTCTGCAACATATAGGACAACAGAGAACAGGTGGATGTGATTTACATCGATTTCCCAATGCCTTTGATAAGGTCACAGTATTTTTATTCAAAAGCTTACATACCTGGGCTTCAAGAACACTTACGTAGCGCTTTCAACGTCATATCTATTTGAAAGGAAACGGTATGTTTCTTATAATGACTACACATCACATGCTCATATCTCAACCAGTGTTGTCCACAAGGATCGAATTTGGGACCATTTTTATTCATATCATTCGTTAATGATCTGTATGAATCTTTGGACTTACCTGAAATTTTATTCATGTTTCTCCTATTTGGAGAACTGTATATTTATTCAATCTAAGATAAATTTACTACAAAGCTGGTGCGTCAAGAATCAACTCCGTCTTAATATACCTAAGTAAATGTAGAGCAATAACTTTTTATAGGAAAACTAACGGTTAGTTATACAATGGATGAACGTGTTCTTACGCGTACCGAAACTGTTAAAGATTTAGGCATATATTTCGATCAAACACTAACTTTCAATCGAGATATTAATCAAACTATTACACGCGCTTTCAAAACAAACCTGTGGATTGTAAATATGGTAATTCTTGTAGTTTATAGACGTTATACTTTAGTTTGGTTAGGTCTGAACTCGAATATGGAGTCCGATGTACAAGCAATGCTGCTGATAAGATTTTAAAAAAACCTGTGTTTCTAGGTTGATGACTTATATCGTACAGGAGGTACAGAATATAACACCCTCATTTATAGATTTGGCTTTCAATCCTCAGAAGTGCGGCGTAAGCAATCAGGCGAATTGAAGTACAAATTGCGTACTAATTTTGTATTTTCTTACCACCCTTTCTGTTAGTTTTTTTTGTATTGATTTATGAAATGTGTAATTGCTTTTTAACAAAATACCTCATGGTTATTTAGCTTTCTTTTTACAATAGATTGCTCTGTTAATTCTGTTAAACTGTTGAGCAATTAAAGGCTTCGTATTATTATTATTTCTGAACAAGTTCAGAATTTCAGTTTTGGGTAGCCACCCATGTAAGCTTTAGATATTATTGGGTATTTAAAGTTTGTAGGACATTTTGGACTTAATTATTAAATCAAGTTGATGTTGATTGATGATAGCAACCCATGACTTGTTTACCTACTTCATTATAATTACATCAGACATCAAAATCGGATAGACATTTCAGAGCAAACTTTTCTTGAAAACTGTCATCCCATACGTTTCTTTGTTATGGTCCAAAAACTATATTTTAGGAGAATGATCCTTTATCTGAGAAAAACTGTTGTCTCTAATACCAATATACCATGACACACAACTTACCAAAGAAGTAAGGTAAATTTATCAGCTTCTATCAGATTTGTTCAACCCCTTCTAATCCACTGAAATTGCCTACATTAAATCAAGCTGTATTAGCTGGAGAAATAGCAAGTTAAAGCTCACCACACCCCACGCACAATATTTTTTGGCCTTCGTCAGGAGAATGAAAGCAGCAACCTAATCAACCGCAAGACATAAATCATTCATGAAAACGGTGCTGAAGGTGAAGCTGCCGCAGCTAGCCAGCCACCCTCCCGCCCGCGCCGAACGAATGAAATTAAAGCCTCGTACTTCCAAGAAATAACTTCATAAATATCTATAGAAAAATAATTCTAGATGTGAGACACGGTTGAGGTAAGATGTGGCACCTATATCACAAATAGATGATCCAGTCAAATTAGCTTCTGCTTTCAGACTACGATAGATAAAGGACTATGCACCGCAAAAATCGTATAAGTTAAAATGTATAGGGTGATCATGGACCTCCAGTAAATATTCGTAAATTCGAATCGGTTCACGCAGATCAGTGCTGTGTTTCCAATCTATGACGCAGTTATCACCACAAATGCATTTTTGTCGTGATGAAATGGTTGCCTATATGTGGATATTCAAATGCCACTGGTTTTCTGCAATAGGACTTTATAGACATGTTATGGTTGACGCACTGGCCAACGTGTTCACAATCGATATCGGTATCGCCCGATTATCGGTATCGGCAAAAACCCTGTAATATTGGTTGATCTCTAGTTTCACAACAGTTGCATCGGCTTACATCACAGCAGCCTATCACCAAAAAGTCAACAAAAATCAACATTTAATTAAACCAGTTTGGAAGTTTATATCTTGCTGTTTTTTGAGTCGTAGATTACGATTCTATTATGAGAATTTTCTAAAATAGCAGAATAACTACATGCATATTGAATCCAAGACCAAAATTGATAGACTTGTACTGAAACGGAAGTATTTTTCTCAAAAAGGGCTAATTGTACCGATGTCAAACGTGATTTCATTTTTCTCAGCGTAAAGTTCAGACAGATCAGTTGTAAAAATATTGGCAATATTGGGTTGAGGTGCTTAAGTTAAGTGCTTCCACAAAGCCCCCCATTAGTTACTGTACTATAAAATTCTGTTGAGTGTCGTTCAAAACTTACTGAAGAAAAACCTAATGCCAGTAGCATATATAAGGAGGCTAAAGATATTGGCCTGTATCTCCATAGGGGACCCCCATAGGATATTCTAAAAGTGGCCAAAGTACTTTTCATCTTTGAGTTCTATATTTTGAGAGCACAGTAAGCAGTAATAGTGTTGGGGAGGCGAAACCAGGAAAGTAGGCCATCTTTAGCCCTTTTTGCCGACCTCGAGTGTACCAACACTCTACTCCAAATGCTTGTTCTATCTAACGAACCTTCCTGATGCCCTAATTAAGGTCAGGATATCCAACCATTCCGCTGAGTAAGCAATTTCACCATCAAGCTCCATAGCATCGTATATCTCAGCCCTTAGACTGCAGTGCACGGGACAATTGCCCAAAAAATGAAACGTCTCGTCCTCCTTCCAGCAGTGGCTGTTTAGTCTGCAGTGGCCGGCGAGAACCCCCATGGAAGATCGTTATGTGTTCTTTGGCTTCCCAGGTATACTTCCTCACCGCTGGAGCCGGTTTCCTTGGAAAAGGAATCTTCAGTGAAGCATACGAGATACTGAGGCAGGAACGTTATTTCTCCATTCATCCATTCTATCTTATCCTTAGATCTTAGGCTGTTCTTGGCACTTTCCACTCTCGGTAATGTTTTTAACATTATGAAACAGGATTTCTCTCAATTTCATGTGCGATTCGTGGCACCATTCTTTAAATATTCCTAAGATCTTTGGTAAAGACATAACATTGGAACTAAAAACATTAGCAAAACGCAAAAATCAATCACGAAAATCAAAGATCTCAGTTTCGTGCAAAAAACAGAGAAAAACCGTGACTGGACCATATGTTATAGTATAGCAGAAGCGGAACAATGTCGGTGAAGATTAATGTTGGCAAAACATTAAGTTGGAAGGGCGCTACTATTATAGGAAGGGAAAGTCATGAATAAAACACATCCTCACCCATCCCAACCGATGAAGGTTTTTGAAATGAGGGCGGCGAGGTGTTTATTGAGAAATTATATGATGACAGATGCATTTTTTCAATTCGTGTTCTATGTCACATTGTTAGTAGTATTTCCGACATCAGTGATGATGAAGATTTGAAAAAAAATATTTGAATTATTTTATTTATAACTTATAGCGGAAATAATGAACATGTTTAATATTATACATATTGCATCTGGTATAGAGATGCCAAATCAAAAGAGCGCGGGGGAGCAGCTCAGCAGTGCGACATTATCACTGATCGCCGATGTATTCAAATATACTGGGCATTCCATTTAAGAAATTATTTTTTTTCAAGTTAAATATTGTGAAGTGTGGAAGTTAATTTCAAGCACCCACCCGGTGAACTGAAAAAAGAATATCCTCTGTAGGGTATTTGTCAAGTTGACAGAATTTTTGCTCTGAGAATTAACTCGCAAAAATCCAGGAAAAAGGCGTATAATAAGACGGAAACAGATCCTAGGGGTCAGCAGGATGCAACTCCTACCTGCCCCAATATTGGTAAGAGTCAAGGTGCCCCACCCGACAAGGATGTCAGCTGTTGGAGAACAATAAAGAGCAGCAGGAAACAATAGCAGCGCAGATGAAGCTTATTGAAAAGATGTCACTGCAAATAGACGAGAGGCAAATTAATAAATTACTGAAGAAGAGTGAATCGCCAAAGAAACGTCAATATGACAGCGACAACGAAAGTTCCACAGTTAACAAAGTGGAAATAGCAAACATGCAAGAAGATAGCTCAAGTATCGAAAAAACGCCGATCCAAGAGCTCCAGCGATTTTCCACCACCGCCAAGTAAGCCCAGCTAGCTTCTTACTTCATCCTCATCTTCTTTGCCTCAAACAAACAAAAAATTAACACTCAAACTCTAACCTCGACTCTAGTCAAAATACAAATTCAGCACCAAGCCATCCAGGTTCGAGCCGTACACCTTCGAGACTACCTCCTTCAAAGCGGGTCACGCCGATAGTACTGCGCCAACCAGTAAAGTGGAAGTTTCTATCTCAATCATCTGTTTTTCTCTGTATTAAATTTTAAAAATCAGTGGCTATCGATGTCGGAATTAGAATTACCCCTAAAACAGAGGAAAAAGAAATAGCACACCATACTTTACCCCTCCCTTAAGAAAGAAACTGCGGGGGAATGTGAAGTGAAATCAGAGCTTATATCAAGCGGATATAACCCTCTTCTTATAATTCGCTTAAAAAAGAATGGCGGGAGACCCATGCCTCGTATAGTTGTGGTACCGCCAAAGGTAGCAAAGTCTCATGACATTTTCAATGAGCGTGAACTCATGGACTTGGCTATCTCCGTGGAGGTGCAACGAACTTCTGGACAAATCGGTCAGTGCGATCGCTGTCAGAGATATGATCACTCCCAGTCATATTGTACGGCACCTCCACGATGCGTGAAGTGCGCCCAAGAGCTCCTCACGAATCTGTGTCCTTTTACAGACTACAGTGCTAGGACCTGTGCAAATTGTGGCTAAAGTCATCCAGCAAATAGCTTAAGCTGTAAATTTGTCCCCAGAGAAAATATTGAACTTTTACGAGAGCGACAGCAGAGAACTACTTCTCTAAATTTGAACACAACTTATGCTGCTGTTGTCTCTTCCAGCAACACAAATTCGGACACTTCACAGTCTGCCCCAGTTAATGATTTAGCAACTGTCCTGAAATCCTGTGAACAGTTTATAGCTCCTCTTCTGCACGCAACACAAGCCCTGAAGGCTGTCTTTCCGCAGCCAGTAACAGGGCCGTAAATAAATAATAATAAATAAACTATACTCCGGCTCAAGTACCTAAACATAAAAGACCCCCCTCTGGCTCTCTAAATTATAACTCTTTTGGCAATACTCTAACCAAGTTAAGCACCATTCGGAATACAGATTAAGTAAATTTCGTTCTGTGGAGGTGCAACGAACTTCTGGACAAATCGGTCAGTGCCATCGCTGTCAGAGATATGATCACTCCCAGTCATATTGTACGGCACCTCCACGATGCGTGAAATGCGCCCAAGAGCACCTCACGAATCTGTGTCCACTTACAGATTACAGTGCCAGGACCTGTGCAAATTGTGGCTAAAGTCATCCAGCAAATAGCTTAGGCTGTAAATTTGTCCCCAGAGAAAATATTGAACTTTTACGAGAGCGTCAGCAGAGAACTACTTCTCTAAATTTGAACACAACTTATGCTGCTGTTGCCTCTTCCAGCAACACAAATTCGGACACTTCACAGTCTGCCCCAGTTAATGATTTAGCAACTGTCCTGAAATCCTGTGAACAGTTTATAGCTCCTCTTCTGCACGCAACACAAGCCCTGAAGGCTGTCTTTCCGCAGCCAGTAACAGGGCCGTAAATAAATAATAATAAATAAACTATACTCCGGCTCAAGTACCTAAACATAAAAGACCCCCCTCTGGCTCTCTAAATTATAACTCTTTTGGCAATACTCTAACCAAGTTAAGCACCATTCGGAATACAGATTAAGTAAATTTCGTTCTGTGGAGGTGCAACGAACTTCTGGACAAATCGGTCAGTGCCATCGCTGTCAGAGATATGATCACTCCCAGTCATATTGTACGGCACCTCCACGATGCGTGAAATGCGCCCAAGAGCACCTCACCAATCTGTGTCCACTTACAGATTACAGTGCCAGGACCTGTGCAAATTGTGGCTAAAGTCATCCAGCAAATAGCTTAGGCTGTAAATTTGTCCCCAGAGAAAATATTGAACTTTTACGAGAGCGTCAGCAGAGAACTAATTCTCTAAATTTGAACACAACTTATGCTGCTGTTGCCTCTTCCAGCAACACAAATTCGGACACTTCACAGTCTGCCCCAGTTAATGATTTAGCAACTGTCCTGAAATCCTGTGAACGGTTTATAGCTCCTCTTCTGCACGCAACACAAGCCCTGAAGGCTGTCTTTCCGCAGCCAGTAACAGGGCCGTAAATAAATAATAATAAATAAACTATCCGGCTCAAGTACCTAAACATAAAAGACCCCCCCCCCCTCTGGCTCTCTAAATTATAAATCTTTTGGCAAAACTCTAACCAAGTTAAGCACCATTCGGAATACAGATTAAGTAAATTTCGTTCTTACTAATTAATTCTATTCCCCTTTTTTCTCCCGTTTCTCCTTTTCCTCCTTTCTTTCGTCTTCCTCTATCTTCTACTTGATAAAAAATCTCTCCTGTCTGGGTTCAGGAAGATTTTGAAGAAAGAAAACATCATTCTGCCAGACAAGAGCCATGGTCTTGCGGACCGCTCAAATAACAAACCACGAGACGGGTGATATGTCTTAAAAACTGAACGAACCAACCTCATACATGTAAAAACAAAATATATTGAAAATTGTATGTAGAATCAGAAAATGGTAAGAAATATAGGTGCTATTTGAAAAAATGAAGTAAATTATCTTTTTGTAAAAACTGAACACCCTGAATATACCAAAATACAATGAAATAAAACCTTGTCTTAACCTAAGAAACTTTTGTATTCAAGATTTTTTCCATTTTATTCTGAGATAAGGGGATGGATGAAGTTATGTTGTACATAATGTCTGCCAAAAATCCTCAGTACGCAACTTTCTTTACCTTGCATCACTTAGTTGTGCTGTATTTGTTAGAATACATCGTCTTCTTTAAATCTCTACAGAAAAGTCAAGCAAGGAGTGTTCAGAATCCTTGACTTACACATAAGCATTTTCGGAAAAAGATTAGATACATTTCTCCTTACCTTTACCAAGGTGTATGGGTTAAAATTTAAATCTAATTTCAAAATTGGTAAAATCGTAATGACGTCCAACCAAAGAAGATTTTTTTACATTCATCTCAATCAAATGTTCACGTGGTTAAAACTAGACGTTACCACAAACAAAACTACATACCTTTTTCGTGTAGAGAGCCAGAAGCTTTGCCGTAAATCAAAAATCTGAACCTTGCAAAGGTAGGACTCCTATTTTCAAGTGCAAGACGAAACATTTATTTCGGAAGTTGTATTAGGTCTAGTGCAAATTTTATTCTTAATAAATCTACTTCTAGATAGAAACTACTATTATTATTGGCTGGATTGTTATAGGTTTTTTTTAACAATGGCATTAATTCCGTAACTCGCAGGTGCATTGTATTGATCGGTTCGTTAATTCAAAAATCCTTTGTTCAAATCCGCCATTCGCACATACAGACTTATGCGAGACCGCTTTTTCTTGTGCTTCGACTTTATAAGATTCTCGCTGCTTATAAATCCCCGTATTTGCGAGAATTTATTGTCCTGATCATTATCGAAAACTGATCGCACCTCCCGGTTTACGAATAAAAAGCCCGTGAAATTTAAGCACTTCGAAGAAATGCAAACACAGGTGTGTGAGCTTCATACTCGACGCATTGATCAGGCTAACTAGCCAAAAACTGACTTTGTTCTAGAAAAATATTTGAGCGAACTTGACTTGAGCCTGATAAACAAAAAAAAATGTGTTTGGTGACCTCAAACTTACCATTAGAACCATTTTCTTTTCAAAATTAAAGACACAAATTGAAGTACTTTACAAGTCCTATTCAACTCCCTGTAATGATAATAATAAACAATTTATTTACAGTTGCAAGCAGTAATTACAGTAGCTCATTTAAATAATAAATGTAATTGCAAATAGGGCCAACAAACTCAAAAAACTGATACAAGACCTAATTGAGACAAAAATAATAAACATTATGCTGTGAGAGTTATAAACGAAATTACTTGAGGAAATAAAATATAAATAGTTGAGATTAAATATAATATAGAGATATTGCTTCTGTCACATTAATTGTTGCAGGTTTATTATAATGTTAATTAATATATGCGTACATTATTTCATTTTTCAGTTTGCAGTAGATACTTTTTGTAGTTGACTTTGAATGATTTGGAAGATTCTTAAAATGTTCTTAAAATGAAAGGGAATTATTGTATATTATATGACTATTAAATGTAAATGGTCTCTCAAATGTAGAAGTTCGATGTAGGGGGAGAGATACGGAATACTGCAAATATTTCCATTATAGACATCGAGTCTAAATGTTATCTAATTGCATTAATATGGAGGCGTTTTGGTAGAAGCAATTTTATGGAATAATGTTGCTGAATGAAGTTTTCTTCTGGAAGCCATATTGAGCCAACAAACTTCCTCTAGCTTGTGTGATACCCTGTCAAACTTGCGGATGCCGAATATAAACCTGAGACCCGACTTTTAGATTTTCTGAATTCGTCCACAATCCATTTGCGTTACACGACATCGCTGTAATTGGATAGGGACAAAACTAGAAGATTAGTGAGAATAATCATCAATGTAATTGGCAGAATATGGCGGTGTGGGAACAAAGACTTCAACCGAACAAATGCCCTTTGGATGCATTTTTTACGTGATCAGAAAATCTTAATTTTCCTTGCTACTTTGACGTTCCTAATTGTATTGTTACCCATTCTGACAGTAAATTTACCTTGCAATCTAGCTTTTTGCTTGCCAGATATCAGAACGGCAGATTTAGGGCCGATTTCACCAACATTAATATTATGGACCAATGGGAAAATACCTTATCGAAATGCAATTTGACAGAAGCTGTCAAAGGTCTCTGAAGAAAATCGTGAAAATGCGGCTGTATTATAAACAAGACCACTTTTTGATTCCAACATGATGCTTTTGTACAGAAAAAACAGGACAACTTTCATGTATTTTGATATATGTTATAGGTTTACATTTAACAATCCGTTATCCCCCTCAGCGAATGGGAATGCGGCAAATAATAGGTCGATTTTCTAGCTGTTA